CCTCCCACAGACCAAAAACATGCATGTTAGGCTGATTGGTAACTCTAAATTGTCCCTAGGTGTGAGTGAGAGAGTGAATGGTTGTTTGTCTCGTTTGTCTCTATGTGTCCCTGTGATGGACTTGCGACACGTCCAGGGTGTACCCCGCCCCTCGCACAGTGATTGCTGGACATGGGCACCGGCGACCCCCGTGACCCAAAAAATGGAACAAACGGGTAAAGATAATGGATGGATGGATGTATATATATGTGTGTGTGTGTGTGTGTGCGTGCACAGTGTCTCTGCATCATATCAGCCACCTTTTTACCTTTGTCTCTGTGTCATTGTCCCCATATTTAGAGTAATGACAACCCTGATTCCTACATTCTAGACTTTCCCCTTCTCCATCTGTCTCTTGACACTTTGCCATCCTCGTGGTGTTTGACTAACAGTAGCAACATTTTTGCTGGCACCCTGTTTGTGAACAGCAGTAGTGGTGGCTGTTTTTAACCCAGGCCTCAACTGCCCCAATATGATATTGCTTAGAGGCACTCTCATATTAATTTTGACAAAAGTGTTTTATGTCAGATGCCCTTCCTGACACAACCCTTACCATTTACCCGAGCTTGGGATTGGCACAAGACATCCACTGGCTTGTGCTCCCTAGTGGCTGATTTATGTGACTACTGTAAATACCTCATACAAAGTCCTTACTGTAGTTGAGCAACTGGTGTCTGAAGCACAAACACAAGAATGCAGTCTACCATTAATGGTGTTAAAGGTTAAACAAGGGTGGATGTATTGCATTATTTTCAAAAAGTTGTGCTTTGACTGCTCACAAAAGAATGCAATGGTGTTCAAGGATTTATTTACTATGAAACTCGGTTTAGACAAATTCAGTTTAGGGACTCCTAAAATGCACTTTGCATGTGAACCCAAAGCCACTTAAAATTTTGAACCATCATTTTGTACCCAGTCCTGGTCTATCAAAAACCAGACAACTTGTTAATGTGGAACATTATTAACAATCTAAATGAAATTATAAACACTTGTACTTTTGACTTTATGCTTGAGTGATTTATATAAATGATGCAGAAATATATATTAATGAAATTGAGAAAACTTACTGTGCTAATATCTTTAACTCCTGCAACGTACTGTGCAACAAAATGTCTTAAGTGAACGTGGTGCATTTAAAGTTTAAGCTGAAATATCTCAAGATGTCATCAGTTGAGTTTTCATCAGCATTGCCCTTTCTCTAACCTTGCATATTCAGAGACTCCGCATGCTTTTTTTGTCTCTTCATCTTAGGTCGCTGTTCTTGAAGGAATCATTTATTGATAAAACAACCATTAGATTTAGTACATTTCCTGTATGGTTCAAAGAATCTGTCTCTTCGGATGTTTCTGGCACTCTTGTAGATTTATGTACTACAACTGAAATTACTGAAGGAACTTTTTAATTGACAAACATGCTAATTTATTGGTGTTTTTTTATAATCTCTCAAATTTAATTGTTATGCGTTAAAATGAGAATTTGTTAAAATTCAAACATTTTGAAGTGCTATTGCAGAATGAACATTCCCTGTGAAGCAGCCTCTTTTCACAATATGTACAAACAGTCATTAGATGGAGAATACTTAATAAAGTAAATAC